ATCCCCATTGTGTGTCTGCACTGAGATCTGGGCTGGACATTAGAGAAGGGGAGAAAAAACAGGGCTTTTCAGCCGAGGAGCTCAAAGGATCGTATTCATCAGGAATTTTACTCCCAACAAAGCAAAGTGGACGTTCCTGGTAACACATGGGATGGCAAGATGCTTGGCATCGCCAAGCGCAGTTCTCGACCGTAAAATGTTTCCGGGGGAGAGGGTCTGTTTCTGGTAGTGATGATCTTTAATGTCCATCTGAATAAGCACGATTTGGACATTGGTTTAAGGTCTCATCTGAAAGACAGCGTCTCCAACAATGCAGCACTCTCCCAGCGCGCCCTGAAGTGTCAGCCGAGACTGGATGAGTTCCAAATCCCGACGTGGGCTTCAACCCCAAACCTTCTGAGTCAGAGGGAGAGTGCTACCAACTGAGCCAGGCTGACACACACCGACACCCTTCACTATTGTACCTCACTACCNAAAAAAACTGAAGGTTTCCTTCTAAGGCAAAGGATTAATGGATCAAATTGCATTCAGTTAGTTACTTCCCTTTATCAGAGGCTCCAGAGGCCAGACCACACTGACTGACTGACTGAAATGCCCTGGTTTGTTTGATTGGCTTCTCCCCTCGCCCGCGCTCGCACTGACTCCCTCTCCCAAAGTTTTGCTTTCTCTGCAGTCCCTCCTCATTACTTATTAAGATTTAAAAAGAAACAAAGTGTTTCCTCCCTGTTGTAAAATTACTGTGCGAGTCGATTAACGAGTCCAGTCGGGGCAGAGGAAACGGTGGCGGCTTTAGAAACGCCGCCAGCCAGCATGTCAACAGCAAGAGAAAGAGCTGAGCGGAGCTGGGGAGCCAGTGGCGGGTGATAAGCTTGGCTTTGATGGAAGAGATAACTGTGACGCCGGGCCTGAATGTTGCTGTTATAAGCTGGAGCTGGGCTGAGATAATAGTTGTTTAAAATGTAGGCTTTACCACTGCACTGGGGCGTGGGGTGGGAGGTTAGACTTCCACGCACAGCAAGTCAAACAGCCTCTGAAACAGAAGCGATCGGCACCACGTTCCCACCCTTTGTGCATCGTGTTTTCTTACATAAAAACCTCTGTTGTGTCATGAGAAAATATTTACCAAAACGGCCCCGTCGGAAGGGCCAGTGGAGTGGAAGTTCACCAGTGTGTGGGTGAGGATTGATGAGGATTAAAATATTTGAATCCTGGTGGTGGTCTCAAACCTGGCTCAAGGAAAAGATTCCTGATGTTGTGGGTTCAAGCTCCATGTGGGGACTTTCAGCTCACAGTCCGGGCTGAAACTGCATCCAGCACAGTGCTGGGGGAAGGCTAGATTGGCAGAGGTGCCATCCTTCAGATGAGATAATAAACCGAGGTGATGTCTGTGCCTGTTCTGGTGGACATTAGAGACGTGTTTGGGAAACGGAATAGTTTCTCTTGCTGTCCTCACTAACTGCTTCAGATAAATTGAGCGTTTACTTCATAGCTGTTCGTGGGACTTTGCTTTGTGCAAATGACCTGCTGTATTATTACAAAAACAGCCACAACATTATTATTTGGCATTAAATTATTGTGACCCACTGGGGCTGTTCTGGCTTTATAAAGTGCTGTATAACACTGCAACTTCTTTCTTTGCCTTGTTCGCTTTTATCTCCCCAAATTCCCCCCCTTTTGCTGCTGTGGAATGGTAGCACCTAATGGCTGGAGGCAGACACTAATCTTTGGCTCTGGATGAGACTGTGTGGCCCCTTGTATTAGGGGCCGCTTCTCGTCAGGGTTTCGAGTTCATTTTTTAGAAGATTTGTTTGAATACACTTCGAGATAAAAAGAATGAAAAATAATCCATTTGAGTGGAGCTTAATCAAGGCGGCACATCACAAGCCAGCCTTCTCATCCCAGCACGGAGAGCAAGCCAAGCCAGACCAGACCCCTGGCTATTTTCCTGTGAAATAGCTTTTTTTTTGAGGCACAGGTCTTTAATTTAAGTCTATTTGCTTGTTTTTTTTTCTCTCTCGCTTACTCAAAATCCTTCTTCCTTCTCACAATCTTACGGCCTCTTCTTTCTCGTTAACCATACATTGATGGCTACTTTAACCCATTTGATTCCCTTATCTCTTGGTAAGCAATTATGATGAGTCAGCAGTCCGCTCTCCCTGTTGGGTTTAAGTCCATGTTAGGGAGGGGTATTTCAGGTGCCTGTTGCAGATCCTGTGACACTATTTGAACGGAGAGCAGGGGGTGGGGGGGGGTCCCTGATTTTCTTCCCAGTATTCCTTCCTTTTCCAGTCTTATCATTGGTGAGTGTGTGGAATGTGGCTGCTGGTGCCAATTAGCTGCCATGTTTGCCTGAACAACCACCACTACACTTCAAAGTAACTCACTGTGTGACACGCTTAGAAACATATGACACGGTTACAACAGGGTGACCAAACAGTCGTCATATCTACCCTTTTATCTTAAAAAAAATCAGCATTTCTTTAAGACTTATCAGACATTGTAACGGTATTGTGACGGTTTGGTCACCCTGGATAAGGTTATGGTTCCTATATTGTGTCCGTAAAAAATACAACTTGAGTGAAAGTCATTGCCAAGAAATACAAGACCAGACTAACCCGACTCCACAATTTGTTCACTCCCTGGTCACATACTGATGTGATCCAGTGTAAAAGCTAGTGCAACCCCAGGCATTAGTGGAAGGGTGGACATGCACATATGCTCATTGCATTGGTCTTGAGTTCACTGAATGAACCAAGATCTACCCAACAGAAGCCTCTGTATTAATCCCTGGACAAGGATTGTCATGTCAGATGGTATGAAAGGCCTTTTTCTTGTTCAGATATTCTGTGCTAATGATGCCAACACTAGACTGGCATGTGTAATACCAGAGGGGAGTTGCTCTAATTAAGTAACAGGAGTAGAGTGTGAGTAATTTAGAGTTGGAGGCGGGTTAGGGAACATTGTTTTGGGTATCTGGGGAGTTGGGTGGGTAATTCTCATCGCATTTGTAGAAAACTGTCTGCTTGGCTCAGTTGGTTGCGCTCTCTCCTCTGGGACAGAAGGTTGTGGGTCAGCCTGACACTCAAGTTACTAATAATATAATAATAATAATCCATGCATTTGATATAGTTCCTTATCACGTCTTCGAGACGTCTCAAAGTGCTTTTTACAAGTGATACAACAGCAACTTGCACTTATATAGCGCCCTCTATAAAGGGTTAGCGTCTCAGAGAGCTTTAAGGCACTGATGGCAGGGGGGGTACTCTGGGTTGCTGGAGGTGCCGTCCTTGGGATGAGAAGATAACCAGGCGATTATATTAAGTAACTCACAAGGAGACCACCAGTGCGGTTTCTGTGCGGTAACTTTCTTTTCCTAAACTTCCTGCGTGGGTTTAGGATGTGTTGTTGTGGAGATCAGAATGAAATGAGCGGAGGAGGAAAGTCCACAATGAAGTGGAGATAGAGCTGTTCGTAGAGAGAAGTCCAGTGAAATGGTTAATGGCAGTTGGCTGTGTTACAGGAAAGCAAAACCATCCATTTGTTCAGGGTTTGGTTTTTAAATTTGGGTAGCGCTTTGCAAATAAAACGTTAGGAAGTTTCCTTACTCCACACACCTCTGTTTACCAGCAATAAGTAGGAACCTGATTGTTTTCGATTGTCGGATCGCTTTGCCGGGGACAATAATCCCTTTTTTAAAAAAAGAAAATTTAAAAAAATTGTGAGATACAGTCAATCTGCTTCACAGTGTATCCTGTGAAGCGCTTTGAGACTTCTCCTGACCGATGCAAGGATTATTATTAGTATAAAATAGTGCGAAGAATGTCTCTAAGCAGTCAACTGGGATTCTGGGATCTCTATATTTCTCTTCCCCCCACACACACACACACATTTTTTTTAAAAAAAACACTCAGATGCCTGCGAGTTGCAGACTGGGACTGTGAACTGCATTGAGGTAACAGCTCGGATCTCTGAGGAGCCTGAGGTCAGTCGTGAGCTTGAGGTGGGCGGTGGAGGGAGGAAGGGAGGCTAGAGAGAGACAGAGAGAGACAGAGAGAGAGAGAGACAAAGCTGCTATGTGCATTCTGTAAACAAATGCGCGTCTTGTGAAAGAATTGTGCTTTTCAAAGAGCGATGTTTAATGGGAGGAGACAGGATGGGGAGGTGGGGGGGGTGGGGGGGACTGGAGAATGGGACCACTGGCAGGCTTCAAATCTGTTTTGGCAAATAGGATCAGTGAAGGAAAATAATGGCATCACCCTCCATGCGAGCTAATTGGAGCTGATGGCATGAAGGCAGGAGGGTCGAGAGAGCAGTGTCTGCTGATAAGTTGTCAGGGAGCTGAATGCACTGTCAGGAGATGGGAGCACCTCCCCCCTCCCCAAGCCCCCTTCCCCCCGCCCCCTGCTCTACCCCGGCTTGGCTCACAGACCTGGGATTGATGCCCAGATAGAAGCTGTTAGGCTTTTTTTTAGAAAAAGTAGGTAGATTGTGTGTGAGAGAGAGATTGTGTGTGTACAGGGGAGAGATCGTGTGTGTGTGTACGACTTCGCTGACAGAACGTTTACAAGAATGGACTCAATAGGTTAGTGTACCCACCACTCTCTTCACAACCCAGTTTTCCCCCCTTCCCCATATTGAGTATGCAACTCCTGCCCCTGTGTAGCTCAAACCTACACTTGATAACTGAGGCTTGGCACAGTCACTTGAGTTGTAGAACGTGGGGCAGTCATTTCATTGCGGGGAAGGGGAGAGAAGTGTTGCCCTGTTGAGGGAAAGTGAGGTTTCGTAAATGATTTGTGCGGGGGGTGGTGGGGGAATTGGTTGTTGCGTTTCGCCCACAAAATATACAGTCACTACGCTTTACAGTGTATCCTGTGAAGCACTTTGAGACGCCTCGAAGACATGATAAGGCGCGATGTCAAATGCAAGGATTATTATTATTACTAAAGATGCTCTCCTGTGAGTTTCCTCTTGTGACCTGGTGCCTTGTCTCCTTCCAGATGCCAGTCTGTCTCCCGACACCTCAAAACAGAGCCACTGGTGTATTGTGGCGTATTGGGAGCACCGGACCAGGGTGGGACGTCTCTACACCGTCTACGAACACTCCGTCAGCATCTTCTACGACCTACCTCACGGTAACGGCTTCTGCCTGGGACAGTTGGCACTGGACAACAGGAGTGAGACTGTCAAAAGGACTCGAAGCAAAATTGGCTACGGGATCTTACTGAGCAAGGAACCGGACGGAGTCTGGGCTTACAACCGGACTGAGCACCCCATCTTTGTCAACTCCCCCACACTGGACATTCCCAACTCCAGGACTTTAATCGTGCGTAAAGTCATGCCAGGATATTCCATAAAGGTTTTCGACTATGAAAAATCGTGCCTTCTGCAGCAGATGACGGATTACGCAGACGGACCTTACGATCCCAATAGCGTTCGAATCAGCTTCGCTAAAGGCTGGGGCCCCTGCTATTCCAGACAGTTTATAACGTCTTGCCCTTGCTGGCTGGAGATCATGCTGAACAACAACAACAGATAACAAAGCAAGTCCCTCCTCCATCCGCGGAGGCAATCCTATACTAAGTAAAACCAGACTATTCCAAATATCATCTACCTAGATTTAATATAAAGTTTTATATATTATATGAAATATATATTATACTTGTAAATACGGAGTCATTTTTACATTGTAATTATTTATGTATGGTGCAATGTGTATGAATACAGAACACAACAGGAAAATGCACTTTGGTTTATATATATATTCATTCAACACAGAGATAAATTATACAGCAAAAGTAGGAGAGGCTGCTGAGTTTTGGTGTATAGTTCCACCATGCTATTAATGCCCAGACAAGAAGCTAACTACCAGTAAAACAACAAGAATGAGTCACTCATTGATAATAAAGTATTCGCATTATACATCCTTGTGTCTGGTCTCTGTTCAATGGTGGTGAGAGAGAGGGAGGAGGCGGAGTGTTGCAACACCAGGATTTCAGTCCAGCTTTGATGGTGAGAGGCTGAAACATTACTCACCGGCCAAACTTCGTTCTGCGCCTTTTCCATTAACAAAAACGGAAAGTTAGCATCAACGAATGTCACGGGTTCGATCCCGACAACATCCCCCAGAACAGTTCTGGAGTCTGTCCTACAAGTTAGTGTCTGGAGAGAGAATCAGAGACTCCGGTCCCCACTGGAGCCCTGATTATGATCAGGTAATCAATAAGCACAAAACAGGAAACAAACCTGGGACCTGTACGACAGATTGTTTAATGATACTCTGTTACTGAGGCACAACAGTCCTGTGGGTATTATACTCGTGTGTTACAGAGCCGTAACGCTCGGGTGTGTTTGATATAATATACTTTATTCCTTGTATAATACTAGCATTTGTCTACAGACACGGTCACTACACTTCACTGGAAAACTGGAACGTTTTGAAATGATCTGTCTGATGCGAGGATTCTTCCTATATAATTCAGTGGCACGCGAGAGATGCATTATGTTTAAGAACGTCTACTTATTAAATGATAAGTAAACATTATTCACAGTAATGTGAGTGAGATACTTCTACATGAATGAGGTGCCGTGGATGTGATATAAATCCCTAGGTTTCACGGCAGGGTTGTTCCCAGCACAGATACTTGCTCCATGGTTTTGCCTCTCGCGTAGTCTCTTAACAAATCAAACAGTGAAGTGTGTAACATTCACTGACACTGAAAAGAGGTTGTTATTGGGTGAGGATTTCATGGGCTGAGTGAGGAAGATAGAGCGAGACATTCATTAGACTATCACAACCAGCCCTGGCCATAAATTAACAACAGATGTTACACAACATTCCCAAAAATTTATTAACTGTAGTTCCGCACCTACAATCTCACTGAAATATTATTAATCAGCCCAGTGATATCTCAATGATTTATGGAATCGAGCCTGGGCATGTGTTCATGTCTGTGACAGCCCTTTTTCCTCTGATCGCTTTCCTTCTCTAGTTTTAGTGATAATGAAAAGGGGCATTTAGTTAATAGGCCGATTTCTCCCGCTCGCCCTACACTGGAGGCATTGACTCATGTGCTGGGGTAAAGTCCCATGGATAAAGTCCCTCTATCACTTGCCCGAGTGGCTATTTGGGCCAAGACATTCCCCTCTAGTGTTAGCCCCACCTAGGCTTCTGGTCAGCCTCAGTGCCCTGGGCTTAGGGAGGAGAAAGAAGTGGGAGTGTGAATCTGCATGTGTATAGAGGATGTAACTAACGTGTGGGTTTTGGGTGGTGGAGGGGAGGTTATGTGTGTTTTGGGGGAGGAGTTTGTGTTTGGGACGTCCTCCCGACGTGAAAGGCGCTCCATAAATGGAATCTTGTGTTGTTTGCTGGGGAAGAGGGAAGAATACATTCAAACTTGACGTTACCGCAACAATCTAAGATCCTCAGTCTCTTGAGTACGACATGATAAGGGTTATCATTATTATTATTATTACCATGGGCCAAGTTAGTGACTGAGCAGACTGTCAAGGTTTTGCCACAGTCACCATTCAGAAAACATGCGCAATCTTCAAAAGAATATTTGTACATCAAACATTTTCTGCTTTGTTAAGTGTTAATTGGGGGGGTGGGGGTGTTGACTAACTTGACATTATTTGGATGAAAATCATTGGAATTCACTTTGTCAATGATCTTTGGAGCTGACTTCCTGTTGGCCTCTTCCATCAGGAAAGGAAGGAAGAAAATCCGGGGGGGGGTTCTCTTAACCTCTCCGCGTCCTCCACTGCGTGGGGTCCACCTAAGTCTTGTACATTGGGGCTGTTTCTCTTTTAAGAAATTCCTTTGCCTTTGGGTCCATGTGACAACCCCCCCCAATGCAACCCTTCCCCCCTCCCCGCCCCATCTTTTTTACATGAAATAGGAATCGAGTGTCAATGTAAGTGGTAATGACGGGCAGTGGCTCAAGTCACTGAGCTCAGCCTCACAGAGTGAGGACCAGAGGCTAAACTTCCAACACCTGCGCACAGACAGCGTGTGTTTATTACGTTGGTGACATCACCTGACCTCAAATCATGGCCATCGCCGCACACAGCTGCAGGGTCAAAGGGCAGCTTGACCTAACCCCCCCCCCCCCCCCACCACCACTCCCCGCCATCCCAACACACACTCACATTCATTCACACTCACTCACTCACTCACACTCGCTCGCAGGCCCCAGTTCTGTTAAAGGCGAGTTGATCAAAGGCACAAGACCAGAGGTTGAGTCTGGGAGCTTGTGGTCAGTGCAGCCCATTCCCACCGTGGCCAGTGCCTGTACCCACCAGCCATGGGGAGGGGGGAGCTGTACATTCCCTCTTGTCACTGACTACACACATCACGGTAGAGAAGAGCGAGAAAGCAACACGTTCATTCGCACATTAACATCAGGGCTGAAGCTCTCAACGCCAGATACCTCAAGGACTGAAGTGAGTCAGGACTTTACTTGACTTGCCTTGATTTCATTTACCTTCATTTCACATTGTGTTTCTCCAGGGTTTGTGACAAAGGGCCCCGTCCACTAATTACCTCTCAGCCAAACAGCCAACTCCACCTGACGGCCAGGCACAGCCGGCTTGACCTGTGGCCAGGAGACACGGCCGTGGGTTTAAAGACACACCGCCTGCTCGAAGAACCTTGGAACGTCCTCTAGATTTGCCAGTGTGATCGGATGGAAGGCCAGGCTGGACAACGAGCACCGACCTGTTCAAATGAAGTTCTTAAAATAATAAAGGGATTCGATAGGTTGATACAGAGAAACTATTTCCTCTGGTGGGAGGGGGAATCCAGAATAAGGGGGATAATTATCTTAAAATTAGAGCCAGGCCATTCAAGAGTGAAATCCTAAATCGCCGTGTTTAACTCTGGGAGCAGGACCCTGTGCCACCAGTGAGCAGCTGAGAAGTCTGTTCCTTTCTCCCAAGTTGTCCTCTGGTTTCTGAGAGGGTGTAAATTGCAAAACCACAGCTTACATTTATTACAGTGGCCTTCACGTAGGGGTAGCATCTTGGGAGCATTGATTCTCAAGAGTAAAGATAATATTGTGCTATTATAATTAGCCTGGATTCACTGGGCGGGCTGAATGCAGTGTGGGACGTGGCAGTGCGCAAATTGCCTGCCGCCAGCAAATTCACCCATCAAAATGCACAGTCACTACACTTTACATTGAATCCTGTGAAGCGCTTCGAGAGCCTCCTAAAGTGAAAGGCACCGTGTGATGTGTAATGCTTATGCAATGTATGTATATATGTATTTATTTATTATTAAGACCAGGCCTTGGTGGGGAGCGGGTGATGGGAGGGTGGGGGGATAGAGGGGAGGGGGAGGGGGAGAAACTCAGCTCTGAAACACAACACTCCATCAACGCAGAAGGCAGTAAAAGCCAGAACAAGCGTCATAAATAATGTGGAATGTTAGTGAAGTGTGACAAATCCATAGTCTCTGGCCTGTGTTCAGAGGAATTTGTGTTTGTTCGGCACGCTCTGAGCTCCAGGTTTGTTTACATCACTTTGCACGCAAATGCTGTTTGATCACAGAAATCAGCAAAACATTCCCCTCTTCGCCTTCATTACAGCGACTTATAGAAAGGCTTTGTAGTAACAGAACCCTCCCTTAGCACACAATATTAACCCACCCAGCCTCGGCTCCTACACACAAACAATGGTCAATATTACATCTGCTTTTCTCCCGCATTCTCCTTCCATCAGTCTCAAGACCTTCCTTTCGGACCATGCTCTCGGTCACCTTCCCAACCCCACCCCTGTCGCCCCCCCACCCCACTCTGATCCCAACCCGCAGCTCGGCTGCAAACCCCTCATTGTCCAGTGTCTTGGGACATCCTTCCTCCCAACGTGAAAGGCACTGTATAAAGCAGTTTCGACCACAAAATACACAGTCAATTCACTTTACAGTATATCCTGTGAAGCGCTTTGAGATGTCTCGAAGATATGATAAGGCGTTGTATCAAATGCAAGGATTATTATTATTATAAACTTAATTTGCTGTTGGTGGAGTCAGGAGGTGAATGATAGGGAGCTGGAGTCTGAGAATGGGACTGGCTGGCACAGGAAACAGACAGATGAAATGTGCATCAATATAATACAGAGGGGGAGGAGAGAGAGAGAGAGAGAGAAATCGCAGACTGTATTGACTATCTGCTTGGTGATTTCCAGCTATGTTCTGCCGTTTCTCTTTAGTTTCAGGTATTTGCGCACAGGCAAATTTCTGTTTGTTGGCATCGACAACTTTTTTTTGATGCGGGCAGAGATGCAGGTGAGGTGACTCACATCCAGAAGCATTTGAATTCAATGCATGTACCATCATGTAATTAGTATCTCTGAAATCTGCCAAACTGTCACTTAGACTCTTGCCATGAAGTAAGTGCAGAAAAAAACAACTATTTGTGAATGGGAGAGATTTGGACCAGGTAATATTTAATAATAATAATAATCCTTGCATTTGATACAGCACCTTATCACGTCTTCAAGACGTCTCAAAGCGCTTCACAGGATACACTATAAAGTGAATTGACTGGGTATTTTGTGGGTGAAATGCGGCAGCCAATTGCGCACAGCAGCGTCCCCACAAACAGCCGTGGATTGAGTGACCAAAATTATTACTATGTTCAAGGCCTGGACAGTCCAGGATTTGCACCTGAGCTGGGGGTTGGGATTAGAAGGGGGTTGGGGGAAAGGCAGGGGAGTGGGGCCAAGCGAATAGTTCTTGCAAAGAGCTGGCACGGGCAAAGGTGAGGGGAATGGGCTGCGGAGCACAGCTGGTGGGGGTGGAGGTGGTGGTGCAGGCGGGGAGTGGGGCGGTAGAGAGAGATACACAGCATCCATGCTGGTCTGTGTGACAGTGCTGGGTTTTGAGCAGGGAAATAGCAAACCAGCATGAAAAGGCTGATTGGAC